AAGGGGAAGCGATTCCGGGTTGCATTCGAAAGCATATTCTGTCGGTTACTGAAAAATGGAAGGTTCGAGAGAGAGAGAGAGAGAGAGAGAGAGAGAGAGAGAGAGAGAGGCGGAGAAAAAGAGAGAGATAGAGAGAGAAAGAGAGAAGACGACTGTCGGAGAATGTCATCGTCGCAGCGCGCTCGTGTTTCGCCGATGAGATTAAAATAGGGAGAACCGCGATTCGAACGGAGCGTTTATCTATTTCTGAAGCGTGCGGCTGTATTTCAGAAGCGACCGTTTACATACTCGATTTGACTAGCGCGAAAATAGATCGAGGGAAAGCGTTTCCAATATAGACGTAATCGCGCACCGCTTTGATAAATCTCCGCTCCGTTGTGTCATTTAACGAGCTGCTCTCCCGGAACCGTCGGGGAACAGTTTTATTCGTGTTCGACGTTAACTCGCGAACAATCGTTATCTATTCTGGTAGGCAATGTTTGCGCTCCTGCTTCTGGATAGAACAAGCCCCGGGTCCAAGGAGAGGGACGCCGGGAGGAGACGGGAATAAAGACGCGATCCGACGCGACGCGATCCGATCCGACGCGATCCGATTCGAGTTCGATTCGATTCGATTCGATTCGATCCGAGCCGAACCGAGTCGAGCCGAAATCGAATTGGTTGGTGCAGCGACGCGCGATCTCCGACGTCGGCCGGTGGACATGGACGGATCTGGTTAACGGTATCTACCTGCGGGAAGGGGTGTTAAGGGTCGAGGCGAGGGTCTGCTGGCTCCACCCTCCCCCTCCCATCGATAATATACGATCCTGCATGATTCTGCTTCGCATATCACAATGGCCCTCTGGGCAACCTATTCTACGACCTAGCAACCTCTAGCTACGTATGTAGCACCCATCTACCGGACCTCGGGCCTCCGCTAGATAATGAGTGATTAGGTAATTAGTTGTCCAATATTCCAGCCAGCTTGCTCGACCCTCTCCCCCGCGCGCCCCGTGCTCCGTTCTCGCTTAAACGTCTTTCTCTGTCCCGACGGTCGACGTTCTCGCGATCGGCCACTTTCGGAACGGTTCCCCGTGTCCCGTATAAACGTACGCGACCAACGACTGATGGACATATTTTAATTAGTTGGTCGAAGTAGAATCGTCGACTACCTTCGTCTGCCGCATTGGATTATAACGTGTCGGAGCAAACGACTACTATAGTGTTAGCAAATTGAACGATTCTATCAATCCGCGATCTTTTACGCGATCTTTACCGAGTTTTCGTGCCACAGGTTAGATGTAAAATGGTGAAAGAATTAAAAGAAATTGAATAACGGTGATACGTTAATTACAACTTATTAAAATTATTTAAGAGGGAAATACGAGTGTACTTGGCTCTTGCTACAATTTTTACGTAGAGATCCGCGGTCTACTTATTGCTACGTTTCTCTCGCTTTTTTGTATACTGATCTCCTTTGAATAGGATCCTCAATTTGGTTAAAGCTTATGCTAACGACAATGACTTCATCATTGACGTTCCTGATAAATTCCAAAATCAACTGTATAATGTTATCAGAAGGTAGGATGTTTAGTGTGAATTTGATTTTTACATTGTAATCATATTGTTTTCATTTGCATTATTATTGTATTATTATTAATATCATTGGGTCATTCGGAAAGTTGTTTCGTTCTTTCACGAAAAAATAAAAGACAATTTTTTAACGTTTCAAATAAAACAGAAAACTTCCGACATTTTTCTGGTGTTTTAAAAATCTTATCTCGTCGAAGCCTCGTCGTTTGCTGAATCACGTGCTTCTTCAACGAGCTTACAAAACGAAATTTTTTTTTAGGAACGAAACAACTTTCCGAACGATCTAATATTATTATTATTATGTTGTGAATATTTGTGGAAAAACTATAAGGATACCAGGTCCGTTTATGATAAGTGAATTAAATCGAATTCAATTAAATATTACAATAAAATAACCACAGCAACCAAAAGTTGACGTCTCCCAGGAAGTCGAAGAAGGAGAGGAAGAAGAAGGAGAACGTGCTTTCTTTTACAGAGTTCCGTGGGACTCGACGAAAAGTAATGTCTCCCTAACTGACGCTCAGATTGTCCCCAAAAGTGGACAATTTTGGAAGAGGTGACACGATTATTCCAGCTTTGCGGTTTATTTTTGTAGTTATAAATTGTCCACAATTGTAAAAACGAGCCGCAACGCTCGAATAATCGTGAATTGGAATCGCGAAACGAGCGCAAAAAGTTAGGAGGTATAGTAATGTCTCCCTAACTGACGCTCAGATTGTCCACAAAAGTGGACAATTTTGGAAGAGGTGATACGATTATTAGAGCGTTGCGGTTTATTTTTATAAATTGTCTACAATTATAAAAATGAGCCGCAACGCTCGAATAATCGCGAATTGGAATAGCGAAGCGAGCGCAAAAAGTTAGGAGGTACAGTAATGTCTCCCTTACTGACGCTCAGATTGTCCAGAAAAGTGGACAATTTTGGAAGAGGTGACACGATTATTCTCGAGCTTTGCGGTTGTATCAGTAAGAAAGACATTGCTGTACATCTTAACCGTTTGCGTAATCGGTTCTGAAAAAACAGAATCGGAAAGCGCCGAAGAGCGCAATAGCGTTCCTTCGATTATGCGTCGAAAAAAGCCGAAGAGCGCAATAGCGTTCCTTCGATAATGCGTCGAGAAAAGCCGTAAAACACAAAATAAAACGTTACGAATGAAAATATATATACTATTAATCTAGAATAGGTAACAACAAAATGCAAATTGCATTACTGACAGCGATGCGACGCGCGACGTATACATGCGTCCGAAAGACTGAGCACGTTTCGACAAATTTCGGATGGGCCGTGAGTCGTCTGTTTCGGCCAAATGCCCCTGGCTTTTCTCGACGCAAAATCCGAAGAGCGCAAAAGTAGCTCGTGATATGCGAACGGTTAAGACGTCACCGCGGACGTTCGCGCACAAAATCGAGGCCGAACACTCCGACCGACGAATTTCACCGATTGGCTTTGGGCAGCGCGTACAGCGCATCGCGCATCGCAAAATCGAGTAACGTTCGTTTCGAGTTGATATCGATTCGCAAAAGCGTCGAGGGGTCGTTCGTCTCTCGGCCAAAAAAAGCGCGTCTCGTCGGTATCCCTTCGACGTATCACCGCATACACCGGTCCTCCCCTTTTATAAATATAACAATTAGACGCACGGGGGTCCGTGACACGAAAGCGACAAAGAGAGGAAGAGAGAAACGGAGAGAAGGAAAAAGAGAGAGAGAGAGAGAGAAAGAGAGAGAAAGAAAGAAAGAGAGAGAGAGAGAAGGAGAGAGGGAGATTGGAAGGGGTATGAAGCCGAGAGAAAAGAGCGCGCACAGGTCTGTCGGAACGATCGGAACGAATATATCTTATACAACGCGGAACGAGGAAGGGGAGACGCGATTGTACGGGGCTTGGCTCGGTAAGCGTATTCGAAAGACCGCGACGCGTGTTTCGTAAAATTGCGTTATACTCGATGAATTTGCCGGGACCGCTCTCGCGCAAATTTCTATTACTACTACCTAGCCGGGCACGGTTGGGAGCCCGTGCTCGTAACCAATTCGTGCAAAAATTTAATTAACAGCCCTTATTACTGCAACGCGTCCCTCTTTTGCGGAGGAACAGAGACTTTTGTTTCGCCGGAGAAATTTAATTTCGGCGCCGATGGATTTACAGAAGGCGGCCCCGCCGACCGGTGTAACGTTTGTCCAACCCGGTGAAAATGTTCGAAAAAGTTTTTTGGGGGACGCAGGAGGGCGGGCGGCTGGTACCACTACGGCGTACAATTTCGTCGTGCGTCGAGCCACGAAATTTTTGTTCCCAAGACGACAAATATTGGCCGGAATATTTGCTCGCGCCGGTTCCCGGCCGTTCCCGGCCGCCGCGGCGCGGCGCGGCGCAACGCGCAGAAACGGAACGTCGAAAATTAGATTAAATTAGATCGGACGACGTTAAACTAGATTCAATTAGGCTGAACTGGGTCGAATCGAATTAAAAAGGAGCGAGAGCGCGCGCGTGCAGGACGCGGGACGCCGACAGGCCCGGCCAGATATTCCGTAGAAAGAGGGCGACGACGGCGTCGATAATTATTATAATCGGGGAGGAAGAGAGCGAGCGAGCGAGCGTGCGGCGACGTGGGCGGCAGACGTTCGTTCGCGAAACCGGCGAGGCGAATTGAACGCGTGCGAATTAACAAGCGACGAGATGATCGTCTCGGCCGTGCACCCGCCGCCGGATCGGCCGGGGGTCGTAACCGTTTAAATGGCCGCGGTCGAATAAACTCTCGTATTAGCCACGGCGAGTTTAGAGCGACACGGACCGGCTTTGCTTCCGCGACGGCGGATCAGCCGTTATAATCCGCGACGGACGATATCCTCGGGAGATCTCCCGCTTGCTTGCTCCTTCGCCGGCGACGCGAGCGGACGGGGCCCGATCGCGCCGAAAGAGCGCCGGGCCGCGCGATAAAAAGAGACTCGGCTCGGTTCGCGAGACGTGGAAGCGAAGCTTCTTCCACCGTGTCGGTGAAACGCTGAATCGCGGCGTTGCGACAATTCGGAATTGCGTCAGTGCCGGAGCCGTCGCGATAATGCGCATAATGCGCATAATGCGAGTGCGTGCGCTCCGCGGGCGCACACGTTCGCGCGGCACAGCCGTTACAAGACTCTGATGTAATAATTTTACGATCGCTCGCTGCAATTTATCGGTGACAACACTCGCTATTTCTGTCGGCGTGTTCGCGAATAATGACCGCCGCCGCCTCCTCTGCGGCCAATGGGTATCGCGTGTGCACCGCCGGTTCGAGCGTCTTCGTAATGTCTTCGCTTCGCTCGGTTTTACAATGTCGACGAGACGATGAAACAATGAAACGTTTTCACGTGGCGACTACGGTCGGAAGCTTGCCGCCAGGCCCGAGAGGACCCGCTAAGAAATTAGGAGATTTGGTCCGTCGAAATTGCATGCTTACCTATACGTTACGCGTCCTCGAGCGTCGTCGATACCGTTGATAACGGAGCTTCCGTTTTCTCCATGAGAGGTACATTGCTCTCCTCCAAGCCCACGTGCCGCGCCACCTCTAGCTGCAAAAGGTCCAGGTCCGCTGCAAAAGCGAATACCAACGATTAGAGATCGTCCGCCATTCGTCGAGGAAACCGAATGTATTTCATTTCACTTGTTTCATTTATTCACGGGAAAAGAGAGCCTTTAGCGTAAGAGAAAGTGACGCGTAGTGGAAAACAAAGAAAAATTTATACAAAGAAAATGTAACCCTTAGCGCTCCGATAGGAGCGCTCCACTACGGAGACATTTGTCATTTGTTCCGTAACTCCGAAGCTAAGTGTTTTTAGCATACGTTATCGTCGGCGTTAGCAATTGTTATCTGTAATTAACACGTTGGCTGTCGTGGGGGTCACCGGTGACCGGCACTCGACTTGGCTACAGCGCCGCGGGTGCCATCGGTGACCGGCGACGCGACGAATAGTTAAAATACATAATTAGGGTAAACATCGATACGCATAAATTTTTAAATAACATAATATTATAATAATTGTAATTTATTACAATGCGCCACGAAAAATGCATAAAACAAGTTTATACAACTAAACTTATCTGCTTAAATAATATTTCAACATAATATGCATCGCATAATGAAAAATTCATGTTGGCGTGCTAAGTCGCGTGCTAAGTCTGTACCATTACGATCGAACCATTTTTTGACCTTTTCTATGGTTAGCAACACGGAGAAAAATAAATATTATGATGAGAATTTAGAGCCGAGCGATACCGAAGACGTATTTGATTTTGAAGAGTTAAAAGACATTGCGGAAGACAATGTTGGTTATGATTCTGACGCTTCGAGTAGTAGTAGCGAAATTATACTACCAAAGAGACGAAGAATGAGGATTATTGAAAGTGAAAGCGAAGATTCGTTACAAGACTTGGACGAATGGCGCGATGTTACGGAAGAATTACATATTCCAGATGGAATACCTTTTAGCGTATTGCCACAGGTCATTGGACCACAAGTTCCTACAAACATTGAACAGCCGGTACAATGTTTTAAATGATTTCTCACGGACGAATTGGTAAATGAAATTATAAAGGAAACCAACAATTACGCGGAAAATGTTCTAAACTTGAAAGAAATATCTAGTAACTCTATTTGGCGAAGTGAATACTGTGACACTTGTCCAAGTAAACCCAGAATGCACATGGGAGATTGTTACCAAAGATATCGCACCATGGTGAATTACAGAATTTAAAATTTATCTTTTATTTACAATAGGAAAATGTATATTTATAAAATAAATAAAATCAAATGTGTTCACAAGGACGTGTAATCTTTTCCGCTCCAAATAAGACTTCCTTTATCTCAGGCGCTCCGCTCTAAAAATGTGCCGGAGTTGCTAGTAGGCAGTACTCTGTTAATCTCTAATCTGTTAATCTTTTATATTGTTTATTTTTGTACGAAAAGATATAATATGTCTTATCTGATAAACATAAAGTTAATCATGCTCGAAAACAAACCAAAGACACAGCAATCGGTCACCCCACAGTAATCGGCTTTACCACCCTGCCGTACTTGCAGTCTCGCAGTCTTGGTTTTATAACGCAATACTACATAGTATTTTAGCATGCTATATGATTGGATTTTCAACACGTGTCAACGACAATGACGTAACATCACAAGGACGTGTAATCTTTCCCGCTGAAAATAAGACTTCCTTTATCTCAGGCGCTCCGCTCCAAAAATGTGGCTGGTAGACAGTACTCGAGAAACGCGCGGAGCACTAAGGATTAATCGCTTATAAAGGCTAGAAAAGAGAGTATTGTACGATATGCTGCAACAATTGTTTTGGTAACAAATGCTTTGGTAGCGCAGGAAAATAATTGAATAAATATAGAAATAGGTCAGATTTTATGAAGTCGAACGCCGGCACCGGCGAAATTAATAAAGATTCGCGCGAACGAAAAAGTAAGGCTCGCGGCGCGGACGAGCTTCATCGGATACGAATTCAATAAGAGCTTTTACAACGGTCGTTCGCAAGGAACGATCCGGCTATGGGAGAAGAAGCGCGCCGGCCCATATTCATGGGCGCGTTTTCATCTTTGAATTTTCTTCGACGTATCAACTTGGGGACGAGTCGCGAACGCGAATCCTCCGGTTCGATCGAAACCGCGATTTTTCACTAAAATGACGATCTTTCTCGTCGATTCTCCACCTACAGTAGATTTACGGAGCACAAAAAAACAGCTGTTTTATATTAGTTTATAAAAGTAACAGTACGAAATTTATTCTGATTTTGAACAAGTGTTATCGTAATATTTGCCGTAAGTAACGTATGAATTGAATAAATAACTCATAAATGTATCTTTACGATATGAATAATCGTAAATTAATCCTTTGCACTCGAAGCCGAATTAACGCAAAATTTAAAACAGTCTCTCCGATCCACGGTTTCTCCATGTTACATGATCTAGTGCATTTTATGCACATGAAATTGAATATTGTGGCCCATGCAACAGTTACGCTTTCAACAGCTCTTTAAATATAAACATATTGAAAGAAAAAAATGTATAAAATTAGAATTTATAATATTAAATATAAAAACTTATAAACAAGATTATTTTGAGACGTGACATAGCAATTTTCAATGACGCCTCGGAATCGCCACTCGAGTGCAGAAGGTTAAATATAAAAATTTATAAATAAAATTATTTTGAGACGCGACATAATAATTTTCAATGGCGCCTCGGAGTCGCCACTCCAGTGCAGAGGGTTCAAAACTTAATGACCCGTCATTTTGACGGGTGAATCTAGTCTTAAGACCAGGTGAAAAACAGAGAATGAACGCAACTTCTCAGAATTTGTAAAAACAAACGTGCGAGTCTCGCAAAAGCGAAACGGTCTTTCGGATGGCACGTGATCGATTAGCGGTCGAAAATAAAATAGCACTATTAGGTGATACACAGTAATGTCTCCCTTACCGACGCTCAGATTGTGCACAAAAAAATGGACAATTTGGGAAGAGAAGATACGCTTATTCGAGCCTCGCTACTCGTTTTCACAGTTGTTGACAATCGATATCCATAAAAAAACGAGCCACGAGGCTCGAACAATCGTGTCACCTTTTCCAAAATTGTCCATTTTTGTGGACAATCCGAGGCGTCAATTAGGGAGACATTACCGTAACTATAAATTGGAGTTTGGACCGGTGGAGCCCACGGTCTAGATCTAGGCAGAGGGCCTGAAAGGAGGGAAGGGTTTCGGGTTCGAAAGACAAACCGAAGGAGAGAAAGGAGAACGAAAGAGGAGTGGGCAGAGGGGGAGGGGGGAGGGGGAGGCAGAAAGGAAGGAGGAAAGAAAGAAGGAAGGAAGGGGTACGGGGAGCAATGGTTACAGCAGAATAAACCCCTCAATAATGAGTTCCGCGAGTGAATTCCCCCGGTGCGGAGAGGCTCGAGATAATAAAACAGAGCGACTGGGACGCAACCGCGCGACGGTGGTAGTAACGGTAGTTGCGGTAGTGTTGGTCGAGGAGGGTTGCCGCGGGAACCGGAGGGGCAAGGGGTTCGCGCGCCGGCAAGAGTAATAGTAAGAGGCAATAAAATATAATGAAATAACATCCAATCCAGGAGAGATATTGTGAAAATATTATTACTAACTTATTACTCGCTGGGCACGGTGCGCCACGCTCTCCACGTTTTTCTCCTGTTTTCTTCGCCGACTCCTCTCTCTCTCCTCCTCCGCTCCTCCCTTCGCTCCCTCCATCGGGCCAACCCCTCGCGGCCCCCTCGCAACCGCCCGCGCGTCCTTCCCATTTCCTCGTTCCCCACGTTCCTTTCGCTTTCCACCTTCTCCACGGATTTTTCCGGCGTTCGGCTGCTCCGGCGCGAGGGCCCGCGATAAAAATTTCAATTTTGCGTCGCCCGCACGCGCGTACAAATACGGATTTCCCTATTCCCGCGGAAATTTTCGCCTCCCGCTTTCGCCGCGACTTCTTTTTTTCCTCCCCCGCGGGGATGATCTCGGGGCCGGGGTGCTCCGTGGGGCGCGCGCGCGTTCGATACGGAAACGCCGGGATCGCGTATCATCGGCTCGAGGAGGCCCGCGATCGGCCCGCGATCGGCTCGGCTCGGTTCGGTTCGGCTCGGCTCGTCCGGCGGATATTTGAAATGCAAATGATCCGGCAGGAAAGATCGTCCGAGCGAGCGGCGGGGAAAAAAAGTGATAACCGAGCGAGATATCCAGGTAGATCGCGCGCACGGTGACGAAAGACAGTTACATAAAAGACAAAAGTGTACGAGCCAGCTAGAGCCGGAGAACGGAATAGGCGTGCTGGGAGGGCAGCGACGCCGCGAGGGGCGGCCCTGCGCGAAGAAAGAGAGTATTAGCGGCTAAGAAAACAGGCGGCGGAGATTGGGGGTGGAAGGGGGATGCTAGGTTGGAACAATCCTATCTGGCCGTGTAAATCTCCGGGCCGTCGTAACGAACCGGCAAATCGAAACTAAACGGTAGACCATGAATGGGAAATCAGAAAATAACGTTACGCCGCCGCGCGAGGCCGCGCACTTCCGACAGGGACGACTCTCGCACACAAACGCGCGACGGAGAAACGTAGACAACCCCGGACACACACGTACCGTACGCGTGCACGTATATACAACCGTCGACGGGGGGAATACGCTCGCGAAACGCTCGACCGAGTATACCTCCCGGACGTGCGAGCCAGCGTCGTTGCTCGCGGACTTCCTTTCGAGCACTCCTCCTCCTCCTCCCCCCGAACCCGTCCCATCCCTTACCGCTCGCCCAGCTTTATGGTCTTTCTTTCGGCTGGCGAACATCGGGAGCGCGGCGCTGCCATATTCGAGTTTCTATTTCTGGATTGTCCGAATTCGGAGACGTCGTTGTTCCAAAGCAGCAGCGGATTGGACCGATAACGCGTTATTTTCGCGATCCGCGAACGTGTATTCTCGGCCCCTCGCGGCTATTCGCGGCTCGAGGAGAAGTATTTAGTTAATCACTGCGTTAATAAGCAGATCAAAGACCGGATTTAGTCTGAATCGCGCTCGGAATACCTGATCGCGTAGGGATTGATT